CTAGCCCCCCCCCGCCCCGCCCCCCTCCTGCGCCCCCTCCCCCGCCCCCTCCCCCCTCCCCGAAGAGCCCGTCACGCTCCTGCCCGAAGCCCTCGACCGTTTCGCATGTACGCGTACGGCCATTAACGCATCGCTCTTGAGGACGCGACTCGAAAAGCAAACGATTGTATATGTGCTCGGCCGGCCTATTGGCCTGACGACCGGGCCGTTATATTCAAAAGGAAAGAGGTTGGAGGAGGAGAGGCCTCTCTTTCCCGAGTGTGGGTGAGGCCGAACTTTTTGCCCGCGCCGCCATAGTATGCGTATCGTATCTTTGTTCTCCTCCCTGTTTTCATTTTATGATTTCATTCCACGTCCTCGTGATTCATACGTTTTGCATGAACGTTGATTTTAAAAATGTCGTGTATGCCTCACCCCCACCATCCCCTTCCACTATCGCCCACCCCGCCACTTATTACATACCAATTGTATTTACGAATGCTTAAGTGTATGTCCCTTTAAATGCTAATCGTCATGCTAATTCAATACATCAACATTTTCACTACTGAACACATTTTTCATTTACATTACTGCGCGTCCTATCGACACACTTAGGAGCCCTAAATAGGCTATCGGTGCCTCTTGCGCTCGCGAGATTAATCAATCGGGCAAAGCACGAAGCAACATGCATTTGAAGCCGGAGAAAATGATAAAAGAAATTGCTGTCGATAGAGCAGCGAGATTATCGATTTCCGAGCGATCGAGGCCCCAAGTCGAGATCGAGGAAGTAGATAGGCAACCTGATCACCGGGCTCGATTCCGTTGACGATTTTCCGATAAAGTGGCGAGAACCTCTTTGGATCGAGTCGCCTCATCGTGGGGGGCACTTGCTTCAGCCATGCTTTCTCTCCCTCCACGAGGACGATCGACGGTGCGAAAGCTCGGGTGAGCCTCGTGATCACGTCGACGAGCCTGTTCTGGCTCTTCTTGGACTTGTACCGACCCTTGTGCTTCTCAGGCGTGAGATCGAAGACCGTCGCCTGCCGAGCGTATAAAAATCGTTACTTCCCATTGTAGCTCCCGGGGCGCTTAACGGACCAGAAAATTACGCCAATCGCCTACTCCCGCCGTGGGGCAGGCGACCGTTTATCTTTTCGGTCTCTTCCAAATACAGAGGGCGTGGGCGATGGGATCGGGAGTTTGGCCGGGCGGGGGGAGGACGAGATTACCTTGAGCTCGTTGCAGATGGCATGGGCAATGAAGAGCTGACCGGATCCTGGTGGCCCGCAGATGCACACCGAACGTACCAAGGGTGCAAGCTGGTGCACGGATTTGGAGCCGAGCGGCAGTACGCAATAGTCCATCACTGCGTGCTTGATATCCCCGAGATGTATGTCGTTGTAGTTCTGGAAGTTGTAGGTTGGGACACCTGGCCAGTCGCTTAGTCTGCGTTCCGGGCAGTTCCGGATCACTTGGGCTCGCATGAGCTCGATCGCGAGATCGTCATCCGATTTATCCGGCAGGATATCCCGGACAGGGATATCCGTGTTGTTTACCTCTTCGACGGCTGATCAATTCGAACGATAATTTACATGGACGTTTATTGATCTTCCGACGATCGATCATCGATCATCGGCGCCTCTCGTCTTACTCGATTAATCGATGACTTTATTACGCAGCCGAATATTTATTAATAATATGATACTTATTCCAGAGATAATCTAGCGACTCTCCCGTGCTTATTTATTAATACCGATACTTTTTTTCACAATCATTATGAACAATTATTCGTAGACATTTCTCTTTTCGTTTAAACATTTTAAATACTTTGTTTAATTTATCTTTTAAAAGTTTCATTTATAAAATGCCGATTTAAAGGTAATATTATATTTAATGGCAGTCTTTTTAATTAAAGCAAATCAAAGAGAAAAAAAAAATAATCAATAAATAAATAAAACATAAAACTATACAAAAATGTCGAACGTCAAACAGTCAATCTAATGAATTGACAGATTAACATTGTATTAAACGAGTACAGTCTCCAATTTGAAAAAATGCAACAGAGAAATTATATATATATATATATATATATTATACATTAAAAATTATTGTACTTTAATAATACTTTATATCATAATACATGTGTATAGTAATAACGAGTATTATAATGTAGATGATAGTAAAATAACACTTACCGTCGAATTCCTGCGGTTTGGGTAACTGAAAATGATCGTCGGCCAGCTGATGGTCTGTCATGAGTGCTACATTCAAGTCTTCTAACTCGACTCTCATTGATTCATCGGCAATTTCACGCATTTCCAACTGTAAGTCGTAGCATATATCCTCGAAAATAAAGTCTTCGAACAAGGGAATAGTAGGATCTAATATTTGTATTTCACGAGGATTCCATTTAATCAGAAATTCCTTGTTGATTTCCATCAAGCTGGATATAACCTTCGATTCCCGCATTACCCAGCCTTCTGTTTCGATGTTTTTAGTTGCAACTTCATTTTCTTCATTCGATTCCGGAATATTTGATTTTTTTACTTCAGGTCTTACAGAGGATAAATACTCGGTAGGGGTGCGACATTGACCAGTTGCTATTAGAATCGAGCCACCAACCGCAGCTGGAGGTATATAATCGAAGAAGCCCACTTTCTCGTACCATTCGAAGAGCCAAGCGCGAATTTCTTCACGAATATCATCAACGAAGCTTGGGCCACGGTTTTCCAAAAACTATTTTACAAAAAAAAATTAACCAATCATATTAACATTGTCTTTGAAACAATATAAACGTGTTTGTCTTTGCTTTATTTTCTAATGTATGAAAATCTCATTTTTTGAAAAAATAACATTACGTTGACAATATGAACGTGACAATAATACGATATGTGTTATTATGAATTATTAATATAATCGTCTCTTGTAGACAGAGAGGTCGTAATTAAGTTGAACTAATTTTTTTTCAATTCAAGCAGTAGTATATGCGGCTATAATATTAAAACAAGTAGCATTAGTGTCAACGAACTTTTTCTTCTTCGGCAAATATTAGGTCCTTAAGTTTTCGCAAGGCCGCAGCTTGCCTATCTGATTTTTCCTTAACAATCTCATCGAGGCGTTTAAGGATATTGCGGGTACCTCCACTTGGAATTGTCATGCGCATTAATTCCTGAATTTTACGATTTCTTTGTTGTAATTGTCGCCGCACCGAAAATCCTCTCCATATTTTTTGTATTTTAATAGCAGCTTCGATTTCTAAGTTTTCATTGATATTCGTTTGATCAAATTGGTTGGCATCCAGTCTTTTTCTCAAGCGTATCTGATATAAGGCTGCAAACAAGAACAAAAAAAAAACAAAAACAAAAAAAAAAATGGTTTCCCCTTATTAAACTAATTATAAATTGCCAGTAAAAATAACATCATTAATATTAATTATGTTAAAATGGTGTTTGAATGTATGACTTTATACACTCGGAGGTAATAAATAAACATTATAATAAACGGCATTAATCAGAATTGCCAGAATTTTCTTAAAACTGTTCGCGTGTTTACGTATATTTAAGAGCATTAAACACTTAACAAGTATACGAAGCGAAAAATTCTATTTTTCGTTAAATAGAAGCTATTGATGGATCACATCTAATACAATAATATAACACACTTATTTTACATAATAATATGCAAATGCTTCTCAGCAAAACTTGTTTTCACGTAAATTACGGCCTATCCGTTCCATAAATTCAATGAATTTGTTTGGTTACACGTATAACGACGATACATGTTGCTAGTAAGAATAAGAAAGCGACGGGGGGTGAGTGGGTGGGTGGGTTGGTTGGTTGGTGACGATGGTAAACGAGGGAGAGGGAAGAGATAGCAAGATAGAGATGGATAAATAGATGGGTATGGAGAGCGCGCGCGCGTGTGTGTGCGTGTGAGCGCGCGCGTGAGAGAGGGGGAGAGCAACATAAATTTTTCCGAAACGGCTCGCCGGAAGTCAGAGGTATTTTTCACTCGATTCGAATGCCGCCGCAGCGGCAGCCGTCGGATGCGAGTGTGTCGGCATGCATAACCGCCTAAATGCGAGGGACTATATGAGATCCGGTTTTGCCTTCCCGTGTAATTCGATTGCTCGAAGTGCGACGTAGGCGCCCACGCAGATAACGGTCGACTTTAACCTGGCCGATCTCCTCGACTTTTCAATTCATCTTAGCTCGTTTCTAAAATTCTCTTCCCCCCCCCCCCTCTCTCACGTGCTCTATCACTCGCTCTCTCGCTCTCTCACTCTCTCACTCTCTCTCTCTCTCTTCCTCTCTCTACCGCTCAAGCGCGCTCAAGCCCGCGAATTAATGGTTCGAATTTTTTGCTTTTCTACCAATGATCGACTGTTGCCACATCGATGTCTCGCACCTCAATTCAAAACCATAAATCCACGAGGCACCCATTGACATATGACCATCCGTGTGAATAATAAATATAATCGTTTCGGTGCGACTTAACACTTAATATTTCCGCAGAGCGTAAAAAAATAAGAATAAAAAAAAATAAAAAGAAAGATTAAAAGCTTGTGACTCGAGCGATGTTGAAATTTAAAACGGAATTATTATCAGATAATTGTTGTATTTTTAATTTCTTTCTATTTTTTTTTTTTTTTTTTTTTTTTACACTTTCTATAATAAAAGTTACTTCAATTTCCAAACAGGTAAAAATAGCTTTACAAATATACAACAGCTTTTACGAATAAATTAAAACTAGTGAATGGACAAATATTAATTTAACTTGACAGCAATTTAAATAATATATTTTACTGATCACAATAGTTTAAATATAATTACACAAATTTATTGTTTCACTATCTGATTTTTTTTTTTTCTTTTTTCTTTTTTGGTACATTGACAGAATTCAAACACTTGTTTGCACTGATAATCAAGAAATAAAGAAATAATTTCGGCAATATATTTATTCACTTTGTTAATAAAAATTTATGATATTTTAATTGTTAAATTTACTCTTACAGAGCTTATTATTTTATGCTTATTATTATTATTATTATCATTATTTTTATTATTATTATTATTATTATTATTATTATTATTATTATTATTATTATTATTATTATTATCGTTTATATATGATGAAACTTTAAATATAGGATAATACATAATTGTATTGAATATTGAAGGAGAACAATTAGTGATAGGGATAAAATATTTTAAGATTATTTCATTTGTAACAATAACATTAGCGTGACTGCACATGAATAGAAAATATTATTTTAAAATATAAAAAAGCAAAAAATTACTTTTATAGCATTAATTTATAGGACACTGGTTTATAAATAATATTTTTTAAATTTCCGAAAAATCTTTATGGATGAAGGACTAATTATATTTAATATTAAGTAATTAAATATTCCATTATGAATATTAATTTTTAATCTAAATTATTTATATATATATATATATATATATATATATTTTTTTTTTTTTTTGTAATACAATATTTGTAATACAATAAATCGAAGAATGAAATATTAAGTACTTGGATTGAAAACTGTATGTACGTTTTCAATAATCAATAAGCTCATTACTTTATTTGAATTTCAAGTTGATTTGTAATAAAGTTTCAAGAAATATGGTAATTAAAAGTAAGGATGAACTGAATACCATTTGCGGCATTTCGTCTACCAACTCTCGAGCGTTCGTTACTTTGAATTAACAAAACCGCATCATTAAATGCTTCGCGTTCGGCTTCTTGCATCTCTATTTCCGGTGGTTTTTTAACTGTGAGTACCGTCGACATTACTTTAGATTTCTCTTTTTCCTCTTCTGTCGACTGGGATGATTGCAAGTCGTCCATTCCACTCAAATTCGATTCAAAGGATGTACTTTCCATGTCGTCCGTTTCAACTAGCAACGAATTTAAGTAAAAGTTTAATTTATATGCTAAAGGCTTACTAACGCAGCTACATAATTACACGCGTTACGCTCAACTATCCTATTAAATTATTCAATATCATTATGACAATAGCGAGTGATGAGTGAAAATTCAATAAGCCAAACAGTTATTGAGAATGGAATTTAATGTAATATTGTAAAATGTAATAATTGTAAAATAGTGAATATCCTTCTACTCGCTGTATTCGATATTTCTCTAATTTCTAACGTATAATTATTTTGATATTATTTTAACATTAAAAATACATTGTTCGCAGTTTCAGGACCTTAACGAACATTAGAATAATTTATAAATTAATCGTATCATCAACAAATTTTAGAAATGTAATTTTTATTTTCATAGAAATAAAAAATTAAGTAAAAATTAAGTTGCGAAGCTAATTTAGTCGGTAGTTTTTCGAGTAAAATGACAATGATATCGCCCGCGGATACTAAACAACTTAATAATAACAACAACATTAATTTATTTACCAATATCTGTTTTTGCGAGATAATTCTCGAAGAGTTTCTTTCGTCGCTCCGATTCGGCCATCCTAATCGAGAGATTATATATCGGGGCCGTAAGGTCCACATCATCGATCGTCCAATGGAGGTGTAGCAAGATGTCGATGGGCCAGCTAATCATGTTCATCAAAAATGAAAAAATTTTACTTGTAAATGAGTGCCTGGTCGAGTGTATAAATATTGCGAACTTTAACATAAAATTAATTTAAAATGTTTTTACTCAAATTCAAGGTGGATTTGTATTTCACTGGAGCGGTAGTATTTTTTTTTTTTTTTATTCTTTCATTTTTGTTCATTTTTGATTGATGAAAATGTGCTAATGAGACTCTTACTTACGGGTAGTCGGCGAAGGTGAAGTCGACCATTTCTTGTCGTATTTCTAACATACGAATTATTGAATAATCAAGCATTTTTTGGATGAATTGTCGTATTTGCGGATGAACAATGTTATCATGGCAAACGGTTAAGCGTTGGACTATTTTCCGATAACTGCAAATAATATTACGTTATTCAGCTAATATCATACAATATATTATGAGATAATATTTCCTCTAAAAGCAATGCACCGAAAATATAATTCAAGAATATAATTTGTGGCAGCATTTCTATCCTCTATTGGTGGCTCATTTACGAAAGTTTGGTCGTATTCGATTAATTTTTCCAAATCCCTTTGCGCAAGGAACCATAATTTTGAATAATATATGTGATCCATTAAAATGTTAAGTGATTAAATTTGTGCAATAATTTTTTGAACTTTCATTTTTTACGGTTATATTTATTCCGACTTTTGCAATATTACGTTACTAACCTACTACCACAATTTATTAGGCACTGTAAAGAAACAAGCCCATATCGATTTAATCTTCTATAAACAATCACCAATTTCATGACATTAATATTTATAACATAAATTTTTTATTTTAATAATTAATTGCCATAAGTTGAAACGGCAAAAATCACATTTTCACTTTCATTCGTGAATTCGTTTCGGCTTTCCTTCAATGAAGGTTATAATCGGGGAAGATACGGTCAATAGAAAAAGGCTATAAAAACGTAAAGTTATTATAGTATTAGAATTTATTTGCAGAATAATATGAAAATTTTTTATTTTGAAAATTTTTAAATGCCAACTGGTATATTTTTCATTCATTTGTCAAACGCCATAAATAATATTTGAAAAATGCCATTGTCTATTCGATCTATTTTTCGTTACGAAAAAGTAACTTTAAAAACCATTCCACTTAAATATCTATCAAACACTTGAGATTGTTTTTGCTTAGAGTTACGCGTGCGTGTGTGTGTCAGTGTGCGCGCGCTCGCGCATGTAGAATTGTATATAAGGGATTACCTCTATTTCTAATACAAAATATTATTGCTGCGGTATATTAAAATGCTTTTTCCGTTTACCGTCTCCATCAATATATCACTCTTTTACCTTCAAATATTACCACGATTTTACGTTTCAAAATATTTTTAATATATATTTTTAAGTAAAAACACTTTTCATCTTTCACACGCCTTTTAATCCTTAATGATATGCGCATTTAACCACATTGATATGCGTGATTTATACATTTCTGACATATTTTTTTATTTTCTTATGGTATATGACATAAAATTTACAAGTATAATGTTAATAAAATTTAAGACTATCAATAACAAAAAGTCGCGATTAACAGCAATTATATTTTAAGAAATATTGACATGCAAGTATATAGAAATACAACATTGAAATGAAATCTTAATGAAATAAAATGTAGTTTGCATAATCAGGATAATTTAAAAGAACATTTGAAGTGATTATTCAATATATAATTTTAATATAAAATGCACCATGAATTTTAATTAATAGCATATTAGTTAAAGAGAGAGAGAGAGAGAGAGAGAATAAAAAAATGCTTATAAATAGTCATATTAGTCTACAAGTAGACAAATATTGTTTTTCAATAATACAAAGCTAATGAATGTTATTTGATACGTCTGGAAACAAAAGAACCAAAAACAAATAAAAAAATAAAATCAAACTATAACGGCCGAAAGCATATTTTACCTTTCAATTGATTAGTGTGCGAATTGATTCCAAGGAGTTTTTATACAATCTACCACCATCGTCGGTAAAGAAAGCGCAATTATTTTTTAAAATGATTTTTCATTCCCAAGAGGCGCGGCTCGTTAAAAAAATGGCAATTACAACAGCCTTATCGCAGGATATAAGGGGACCCCAGTGAAACATTCGAGATCTCCTCTTTGTTATCTACGTAAACTGATAATGTATACATATGTTTTCAGAATGCCGGATACGTTTCAAAGCTTTCTCGCAGTGGCAATAATAATCATGGTGTCTTCGCTTGGCGCTACGCTAAGTTATTCCACAATGACGACGCCGGCGGCGCAGGCGGCATCGGCAATTACAATGGCAAATTCGACGCCGACGACAATGGCAATGACGGGCACAACAGCGGCATCGACCAGCGCTCCGAGCATCCCTGCCATTAACGAGAATGCAACGTCTACCAAAGAAACGCCGAAAATAATGAGCGACATTGTGTGGGAGTGCCCGAGCATAACGGGCGTCGGTATCGAATGCTCCTGCGACTTCCCCCACACGCTCAGATGCATCGGGGACAGAACGTCCTTACAGGTAATACGCGGTATTATTATTGTCTCAAAGAATAAAGACAAGACGGTACTGAGTTTTTCTTTGACTCGACAGACGATAAGCCGCCACCTGCGTCACAGTCGGCCGGGCATGATATCCCTGCTGGACGTGACCGTCTCCGGGATTTCAACGCTTCCGGCGAACTTCCTCGAGGACGTCGCGCTCCACGGGCTCGTCGTCTCCACGGGTGAGTTGCGCCGCGTCAACGAGAACGCATTCACTGCCCTGGCCCGGCCTCTCCAAGCCCTCGGACTACCCAACAACCTCCTCGACGGCGTCCCGACCGTCGCCCTCGCCAGACTTATAGGCCTCGAGAGGCTCGACCTCACTCACAACAAGCTCAAAACGCTCGAGGCCACTTCCTTTCAGGTATCGTTATACGCGAATTACGAGAATTACGAATCGTCTTTTAAAACTGGGCCCAACTTCCGAATGGATTGAATTAGGAATTTCACTTACGCGATTATTTTATCGCGGAACTTACGATCGATCGCTTTACGATTTTACGCCCCTCGTCAACAACTCGATCGACCATCCATAATCGCACTTAATAGAGTCCGGATTATGGTGAGGTGATACAATCAATACTATGCTATTAATACGATGACGATTGCAGGGATTGAGCAACGTGACGTATTTGGACCTTTCGGACAACCTCCTCTCCCAACTGTCACCACAAGCTTTTGCCTCCCTCCCGAGTCTGCGATCTCTGAAGATGCACGGCAATCGTCTCAGCGTGTCAGCTCTCTCGGCCCTCCGCGGCCTAAGAAATTTGGAGGAGCTCGACCTTTCTGCGAATTTGCTGAGCGGACCGCTGGGCCCGAGTCTCCTGCCGGCGATGCCGAGGCTCCGCTACCTGACCGTCGCCGAAAACGAGCTAAAAAACGTTCAACAAGGCGCCTTAATGGGATTGAAAAACTTGACGTCGCTCAGCTTAACTCACAACCAGGTATGCATTGCGCCGATATCCTATGCTATTGCTGCTCCCTTGTTTGGTTACTCATTTTCTTATTTTATTTCGTCGTTTGGAAGGGTAGGCTTGTATTGGCCCAAGTGTCGGCACTTAAATTATCCTGACGTTTCAATTTTACGACCTCGGCAATTAGCGAGCATTATTCGTTTTTTGGTTTTCTGTTTTTATCGCTTTTGCTTGTGTTTTTGTTTTCTTCATCTTCTTCTTCTTCTTCTTCTTCTTCTTCTTCTTCTTCAATATTCATTTAACCTCTTAGCTTAATGATACTTTTAATTTGAAAATTGCAAAATCCCCATTTACAGATTAGAAAGTTCGAATGGAGAAAGGCGAGAGCAAGTAGCCAATTAACGCTAACTTAACGATAATATTATAATTGTGCGAGCGTGCGTGTAGTCGTGGCAGTGAGGGGGGGGGGGATTAACGTTTACAGGAGCTGAGTAAGACAAGGTAATTTTATGTATTCGCATCAAGAATCGAATCGAATAAAGGATGAGTTTAATTGAGATTTGGTTTTGACGGTAAATAAGAGCTCCGGTGAAATGGAAGTAAAATTGTTAAAGGCTCCGAGAACGAATGTCTAGCTGACGTGCGCCAACTCAAATAAGTGAAAACCAAACTAATATTAATGATGAATGGAAGATATGCCTGTATTATAAAATAATTATCATTGGCACTGCAGATCGATGTTCTGGAGGATGACGCGTTCAAGTACTTGTCGACCCTGACGCATCTGGACCTCGCCTACAACGGTATCGTCGCGGTCTCGAGCTCCTCCTTGGCCCACCTCGAGAAGTTAAAGATCCTCGACCTGACGCACAACTTTCTACGCTCATTAAATGGCGACCTCGTGGTACCGCTGCGCAGCCTTGAGAATCTACGCCTGGATGACAACGACATCACCATGGTTACTACCGATCTACCCACCTCCAAGTTGAAGCTCAAGAGTCTCTCGCTGGCCGATAATCCCTTCAATTGCGATTGCACCCTCCTCGACTTTGCCAACTGGCTGGCGAACTCCAGCCTCGAGGAGGAGGACAAGCTCTCCGCGGTCTGCGCCACACCGCCTGCTCTTGAAAACGGCATCCTCACCCAAGTCTCGCCCGGGAATTTACTTTGCGGCGATCCGACTCCACCCATCATGACGAGGCTGCCACTCGCGGCTGCGCAACTTACTCTCAACGTGAGTTTTCGAAATCAAAATTTTCTCATTAGCCTTTAGAGCCTCGATCAATGCCGTCGTTAAAGCGGCTTGGTCCACATTATCAACTGACCTTGAAAAATGAATACGTAAATAAAGAGTCGACAATAAGCTTTCGACTATCGAGCACCAATATTTACCAATATTACCGAATCCCTTATTTTTAATGCCCTTTTAATGATAACAGAAATTTTTATTTAACAGGAATTCCATTTTGACGAAACAACGGGGGCGGACATGCTCTGGCACGTGGAGCCATGTACCGAGCGTTACACTTGTGACACGCTCATCGTCTACGAGGCGATCGACGAGAAGGAGGTGCAAATCGCCTCGAGTCCGATACATTGTGACTCGCGATTGATGCGCGATCCTTGCTCCCTGCCGATTAGCTTACCCACGACTCTGATGCTCCAGGCCGGGCACAGGTACCGCTACTGCGTCGTGCTCATGGTACCAAGCGGCTACGACGAGCTCTCCCTCGGGCTTGGCTGTAGCGACATAATCGAGCTCGAAGAGACGCTCCACCTCGTGCCCGAGGACCATCAGCCGAGAACCGAGCCCCAGCCCGAGATATCCACCGTCCACGTCAACGTCTCCAGCGATGGATATCTTCAGGTTTTATACCCCCACCCCAAACCCCTCTCGGTCATTAATATTTAATTAGAGGTCGATCGTAAAGGCTGCTTTAATCGTCGAGCCTACAAGTTCTTTACAATTGCTTAAACAATAAATTGTCGTTAGTATATGCGCGTTTGGCATTCGAATGCAAAGTTGTACAAAATTCATCGGGCACGCTTTATAAATGTATTATTTTGTGTTCGAGGCGAACGTTTAATTTTTAAAATTTCGTTGAAAAGACATTGAAAAGGACAAATACCGTTGAAAGCGCATTATAGCCTTGAATAATCATCGTGTGAGAGGAGCTAACCAAGGTCTCTCTGTCGTTTTTAAAGGTCGAGGTAAGAATGTCCGGACTGTCACTCTCGGACTGCAAGCTCGACTTGGACGTCCTGGCAGCCGAATCCGGCGAGGTGCAGCGCAAAATATTGAACTGCAGCTCCGGGGCGACGACGCTATCGGGTCTGGTGCCAGGTAGATATCGAGTCTGTGCGAGCGTCAACGAAGCCGTGGAGGAGGAGGAGGAGGAGGAGGAGAAGGAGGAGGAGGAGCAAAGCGAAAAGCTGCGGGAGAGCAAAGCGAGGTGCGTCGAGGTGCAGAGCTTCCGACAGAGCAACGAGGTATTGTTACTGCTGCTTGCAGCGGTGCTCTGCGTCCTCGTCATCGTCGGTTTCATGGTGGGTAGGAACCTGCTCAGGAAGACGAAGAAGGAGCCCATGCCACCTCAGTGCTTCATGCCCGCGCAGGAGGTTGAGATCACTCATAAGGCGCATTATATAAAGCTCCTTGCGACCACCAAAGTCTGAGGAAATTATTAATTTGTACTTCGTCTTTATTCTAATAAGATTATTGCGAGGCTACGCAATAGCGTCATAAGCGAGCTTAAAAAAATTTATCTCCTTTCAACTCCCCTCTTTCTTACGACTGGCTTTCTAATAGAAATACTCCTTCCTTCAATTTCCCGAATGAGCTCGTATTTTCAATTAACAATCTTATGCCGATTGTGCGTGAAAATTTATCATTGGAAGAACTGAAGTGGGATATATTTCATTAAAGAGTAATTAAATGTGGCTTTATGCAGCTACATTGCACGAGTATGTAAACTAGTTCAGTTATGATATTACAAAGAAATTACATGAAATTTCCATTGTACGCGTACATTCGACGAGAATGATTATCTTGTTAAAATTTATAAAACAAGCCTTCTTTAAAAAAAAAATTGTTACAAAAAGAATTATTTATTTTTATTTAATTTGGTAAAATTTATATATATATATATATTCTCTCTCTCTCTCTCTCTCTCTCTCTCTCTCTGTCATAAATATACCTATATCAGAGAGTATAATTCATTATTGTAAATACCGTACGGGACGACAAACTATTTGTTATAAGAAAATATAAGAATTAATACATTAAAAAAAAAAAAAGTTTGTGTTCTATGTATTTAAAAGACAATTTTTTTTTGTTTGCTATTAATAATAAATATTAATTGTGTAAATCAACGAATTTTTATTCCAACAATTTGTGTGTTAAAAAATACTGATAGGAAGAACAGCTTACACGAAATAAATAAATATTCTGTATAAATAGAATTTTCGTAGCTTTGCTATAAATATTGACTAACTTAGAGACTTAATAAAGTCGGGATTTTAAGTTTTTAAAATATATGATTTAAATAGATGCTGCGATATTTATGAGTGCAAAAAATATTAATTTAACAAAATTATTCTTGTCTGTATAAACAAATTATTTTATTTGTATTTTAATTGTTAATTCCTTTATTATATTTTACTTAAAAACTGTAAATAGTTTCTTTTAAAAACAATCGTTTCTGTACACCCAGAAATCCAGAAAAATTGTTGTTGATCCTTATATACATTATCAAATAAAATATCTTTATAAGAAACTATATGTTTACCATTAAATTTTCTATTTAATATCTAAAAATGTACAAAATAAAAAATATTTATTGAATAAATAAATAAAAATATTATTGTTAAAGGGAATTAATAACTAACAACCTTGAGTAAATTAATTTTATCACTAATTCATTTGAATTATTAATTATTAATTAAATATACATAATATGTATTTAGAAATTCTATTCTGAAAAGGTTGAGTAAATTTTTGAGAAAAATCAAAATTCTCGAGTCATAATTACGTTGATTTTAAATATTATAACAAGAATATATAACATATGAAGTTGATGAACATTTTTATAATACAAATTCATATTATTTTAATAAAAATTCTACAATCTACTATTAGAAAAGTGTTAAAAAATATATAAACGTTACTATTGATAATCAGCTGATATGTATATTTTTTTTAAATATTCGCCAAATTTAAGTCTTCAAAATTTAAATAAGCTTCTATATTATAGTATATTTTACACAAATATTAGCTTATATATCTATCTCCGTATGTATATTTTTATGTATATAGAAGCAATTAAATCAAAGAACTTGCAAGTGAATCAAATATATTTACTGTTGGTAATGCAGAGTTATATTATATCGACAATGGATCATCTTTTGTGTATAAGTAAAAAATAAATTAATAAGAAATTTTAAAAAACTTAAAACATATTAAGTATATTTCATAAAAAACGAACATTAATTTATCGTGTAAACTAATTGTATATGATGAATTTAAAAATAATATATTATGAGGTAATGTATTAATAGTTACTTATTCTCAGATGAATTTGCTAAAGAAAATTAACATATAAATATTATTTCATATTCTTACATTTTTATTAATACCAAAACATGAATGCATTAAGCTATAGTGAGATCCAACTTAAATTTAAATCTTGAATCTAAATATATATATGTAAATATATTCTTAGAATAAGTAATTTTTATAGTTAATGTCTTCTTTAAAAATCACAGGGCAATGCATAAATTATAATATGAAATATCTTATATCGTAAAATATAATCTTAAATCCGTTGTAATATAATGTTTAATATGGATAAATTTATGAATTCTATTAAATAGATTATTTAAGTTAAAGGCTTATTAAGTTATCAATTATGAATAATAGTTTAGTCGTTATTTTAATAAGTGAAATAAAAAATATCATGTTCCTTTGAAACTTACGAATTTTCTTCACGTATCAATTAACTTTTTAATGCTTTTCCTTTATATCGAAGGTTCCATTTAATCTGTTATAAAAACATGATATATTACATTATTTTTTGTATTTTTTTAATTAAATGCTCTTTGAATTTTTATTTTTGTTTCTAAAATCTAATATTAATTTGATATTATAATGTCAATAACGTCTCAGTTCACTTTAATGTTTGTTATGTAATGACCTTATTGGAATTGATATTTATCAAAAAAATTTCATTTAATAATACCATTAAATATTAAATATAAATACTAATATTATAATCATTTCGTCTTTAGGTTACCTTCATTTTATTTCGCTTACTCCTTATATTTGTAGATCGTAAAAACAATTAATGAATTCAATCAAGTATTATTATGTATCTGGTACATTTAGATGTTTCTTCTCTAAATGAATTCTAAATACATATATAAATCTAGGGGATAGTAACGCTTTCTCCAGGACGTATTCTATAACACCTAAAGTCTGTTCGAAAATATATTGAAATCAATGCGTTAAAATCGAAAAAATTTTTTTACTCACGATAAATATTCGTTGTCGTTGTAAATGTTTTTATAAAATTATGCTCTAGTAGCTGCCAACGTTAGATAAGATTAGGAGAAAAAGCTTAAAAAATGTTTTCTAAAATTTCCAATAGCTGTATAAAAATAGTGAAAGTCTTTGTTTTATCATAGTTCGTTATATACAAGACATAATAAATTACCACTTATTAATATTAAAATCAATACTGACTTTAACGTGCCGCAAGATTTAATATTTTAAATTAATTAGTATTGAAATATGAATATCAATTGATTTAAATTCTCAATTTTGTAGCAGAGAAATAAAAATGATTGAAATTAATTTATGTGTCGAGAATACGTGTTTGTTTTTTTTATCTTTAAAATAATCGAAGATAGTTGAACTCGTCACATTCCATACCGTAATAAATTATTTACTTTCATCCTGAAAGTATTATGTAAGCTCGTAATAAAAATGTATCAAATACTACTTCATATGCAAATTACTTATCTAATTTTTCTGTTTGTTTTACATAAATGTAAAAATTAAACTTTTTTTACTTTAATATTTTAATAAATAAATGTATCATTATATAAATATAATTATATGCATATATTGTAAATGCATAATTAAACAAAATAACATTTAGGTTAAAAATTAAAATCTAATGAGATTTACTTTTGTAATGTAATCTCAATACGAATTATTGTATGCGCAATGTTTTTTTCGTCCTGATTATTTGCATTTATCATCGGAAAATTAACAATTTCCTATTCGTAAAATTCATTAATTTTACAAATTAATATACAATAATATTTTATATTTAACATGATGATAAATGATATTTTACGAGCATAAAGTATGATAGTAAATGATTGAGAATTGCATTGGTGTAATAAACATATTATAGACTATTGTAGACAAAGGTTAAGTAGGAAGGAGGTCATCGCGATTATTGAATTGTAAGGCTCAGCTTACTTAAATCTAAGGGTAAGATATTATAAGTGATAATTGAAGCAAGATGTTTGAGTCGATAATTTAAGTAAGATGTGGCTGATTACAAGTAATAAGCACGTAAAGAGATTTAAACGGCTAAGTCGAAGAAACTATCCTCGTTTAAGCTCTTTACGATATTGAAAAACAACTTAATAAGTTTGTCGTGAATTTGCCAACTTGTGAATTTAACTATCCCAATATGCATATTAGTCAGGCATCAAATGGGCAAATTTAAAAGCGTTCGTAAAGTAATTTAATTGCCGATAAGTCGCTGGATTCATTGACCTCGGTTTAACGATAGCGTAAAATCGCATCTCGCTAATATAATTTTCCGTTACGACAGAAGCTGTAGAAGCCTGTCTCGAAGGCAGGCCAGGCTTCTTGCGTTTTCTCCCTTTTACCGAACTGGGCGAGAGCGGACTCCTCTCTCATAATCCCGTACTTCTACTAACGAGCATGCGCTCGATGATGTCGCAAGCGAATCCGAACTCAGGCGCGCGAACGAGGAGCGCTAGCGCCGCTTGATAACGAAAATGCCGAGCGACTAGGCGGAAAATAAGTCTCGACCTCGATTATCCGTCAACTTAATGCGAGCCGCGTAATTGTAATTCGTGCCCGGGAGTAGGACGTCCCTTCTCCGCACTATTGGACGCTTATATTTCAATCGGTGGTGATCGGTTGGCGTTGAAACTCACCGTCGCTCCATCGCGTCAGTTGGTAATGCACCGCTATAACAATTTGCCCATATAATAATAATCCCCGGCCAACTGACAATTATAAACAAAGTGTAGCTTTCGGCTTTAATAATTACGCGGACCTTGCGCAATGTGGCATAAAACGCACTCCTACACCGCGAAATCGCGAGAGTGTGCAAACCACCGCTAAGGGATCCAAGAAAGAACTCGCGCGCGGGATAATTATGGGCGCGAAAATTGCAATTGTTTAGGCGGAGCTGTGAAGTGAGGCGGGTGCGGGCCGACGGGGGGCTTTGGGGCTGGAGGAGGATCAGGGCCGGTAAAATTGAAGGTACCCTTGTGGGACGTATTATGCATGCGGATGATGCGACAGGACTTGTATGTAAGTCTTGCGGTTGCCCGGGAATATAACGGAGCCCACAATATTGCAGCAGATTTAAGCGAAATTTTTCTCTAACTCGCCTAGTCAACGTCCTCTCCCTCATCCAACTATTTACAGTCGCATAGCAGCATACGTAGTTTTCACAATCTCGAAGATTCGTCTGAACAAAAAATGAAAAAAAAAAAAGAAATAAAAAATATTGTCGAAAGTGAACTTGGGCACTCATTATCGCTGCTGAGACAATGGTAAAGAAAAGAAAAAAACTTTTCAACGAAAGTATTATATGAGATCGTGTTAATTATAATTCTTCGCTCAATGAGTTTTCTTACGCTATTTTGTATTAGAATTTAGCGAGAGAGAGAGAGAGAGAGAGAGAAAAGTATAAAGAGTACGACTCGCAAGTGGGAATGCTTTGAAATTAAATTCTCACCTCGTCAGATAATAAACGTTTACATTTTGCGGTCTTGGTACCGAAAAGTATGAATTTC